GGGGGGGGGACTCCTTTATAACGGCCTCACACTCCGAGCGACGAGGACGACGAGGAGTCTAGGAGTGCACCGTGCTGCTGACGCACAACCGGGGCTCGCCAGACCAGCCAGACACGAACCTCTCCCCGCGCGTGCGGGCGACAAGCCATTTTCACCACCTCTATACAAACTCAACCTTTTTGTTGGTCTTCACGAATGTGACGTCACTCTGCCGTCCAACGGGGCTCCACCGTCACGCACACCCTATCGTCCGGAGCCGCCTGCCATATAGTTGCATGCGGCGGGTGGCAGCGCGCGCGGGGGAAGGCCAAACAATGCTCCTCTTTTCGTTAGGAGCCAGCCGAGGTTGACACGGTGGGGACATGTGTTGTTTTGTAAACCTCGTCGCTGACCTGGGGCAAGGCGGACCAAGGCCTCGTCATCATCATGGTCGTCGTCGTCGTCGTTCTGCTCCGACCCTGCTTCTGCCCTCGCATTGTGAAGGCGCGGTGGTGGCGGCCGCGGCGAGAACACCCTTCCCGCTCCTTCCCGCCCCGCCCTGCCCCGCCACAGCAGGCCCCTCGTATAGATTAGGCTCATCGCGGATCTAGCTTATTTATAGGTCTGTCTTCGCAGTGCAGCGGCCAGCACCAGGGGGTCCTGGGCCGCGCTCCGCCCCGCCCTGCCCCGTCTGCCCCGCCCCGCCGCGCTGGCGGAGGTCCTGATCTCACTTCGTCTGACCTGACATAACCCCCTTCTCCCCGCACACGCCAGCCAGCCTCCCCAATAACTTCCACGCGACACACCGTCCCGTCGCGAGTCCCTCTCCGGCCCCGGGCCCCACGGCGGCGCGGTGTTCTCTCGGCGGCACCGCCTCAAAGTCAGGCGAGAGGCGAGTCCATCTCCTGCTCCGCTTCCTCCGCTGCTCCTCGATGTTGTCGCCGCCGCTCTGCCGGGGGTCCCTTTGATATGTCGGAAGCGGGTCCGCCTTGACATGTGCCGCCGCTGCCGGCCGCCGCGCAGCCATCCCGCGGGAACTCGAGAGCGGGAGGAGGAAGGGGAGAGGGAGGGGGAGGGAGAGAAGGGAGAGTATTAAGAAGACATCATAATAACTGACAACGGAAAACAACAGAGGCAGGGGTGGCTTGTCCGGTCCCTGACAACGTAGAGATAAAGCAGAGCTGCCTGATGTTAGGCCTGCCTGCTTCTCTCTCTCTCTCTCTCTCTCTCTCTCTCTCTCTCTCTCTCTCTCGTATCCAGCTCTCTCCCACTTCGTATTTCTCTCTCTCTCTCTCTCCACCCCACACGCCATAGTCTGCAGGTCAGCGTGCGTTGCTGATGGGCTGC